AGTTCTACCATATCCCTTCCTGTTCTATGTGCCAAGCTAGTAATACCTCAGCATTTATCTTTCTGTGTTCTTAAACATGTTTCTGACCAGTGACTAAGACTCATTGCAGAAATGCCATTACTTCTAACAACAAAGCAGTTGGAAAGGATTCAATATTCTCCAAATATCCTGCATAAAGAGACACAACAGTGATGCAAATCTAGAATTCAGGATACCTTGCTATTTCAAGTTGCACGTGGAGTATGACACAGTTAATTTTTGAGGTTAACACAGCTCTCAAATCACCAAGTTGCTGAGGCTTCAGCAATGTCACAGAATCATAGAATAGTTAGGGTTGGAAAGGACCTCAAGATCATCCAGTTCCAACCCCCCTGCCATGGGCAGGGACACCTCACACTAAACCATCTCACCCAAGGCTCTGTCCAACCTGGGCTTGAACACGGCCAGGGATGGAGCATTCATAGCCTCCTTAGGCAACCCATTCCAGTGTCTCATCACCCTCACAGTAAAGAACTTCATGTTAAAAGTCTTTTGTTAAAAAGATACTCAAGCTTTCAGCACTCCTGTTCCAGTGAAGGCTCACAGAACAAAAGGATATGGCAAAGCAGTGAGCCAGCAAAACAAAGACCAGGTAATCAGCGGTGTTCTGCCCTTGGCCCCACTGCTGTTTAAATTGCAGCAAGCAGGATGTGGGCTGCATTACATTCACTGTCCTCATCCTGTATTTGAATAGGCAAACAACACAATAAATTCATTAAGATAGGTTTGTTCAGATAAATAAAAAGCATTGGTGTCATTTTTGCAGTTCCCTTTCCGTGTTGTACTGCTCCAGCTGCTCACAGAGGGCTAAATACACCACTGTGGGTGACTATTCCCAGTTAGAACTGCCTGCATCACACTATATATATATATATATATATACGCACACACAATATAGCCCAGCAAACTACAAATTACCAACCCAAGCATCCTGGAACTGTATTATCAAACTGGAATGTATGAAGAAAATTAGCTCACATAGGGTCAGAATTACAAGATTGTTGCAACTGAGAGTAAATTTTCATCATAAATCATAAAAGCAAGTTTGGTGAGCTCTGCTTTTTCAATTCAAATACATTACAATCTTTACCACTTTGGAAGATAGATGTGATTCTTATCACACCCTTTTAGGTTTTTTAAGCATCTCAAGATCTTTAGACCCACTTACAATACCCAGTTGCTCTATTAAGACTAATGAGAAATAACAAGAGCTGCACTAGTCCACTGTCTTGCAATGTTGCTGAGCACATTCAGGTACCCAAGAAACAAACAAACAAAGCAGTAAGCATAAGGCAAGCTCAGGTCTGCCACATTCATGGTAAAAAGCCAGACAAAATCTGTGAGATTTGGCTGTATAAGGACTGCAAGACCAGGGTAGAGTCTGCATTATTTCTGAAATAAGATTCAGTGAAGATTTAGGGAGTATTTATTCAGTTTTCCCTTTCTGCTGGATTCTGCATTACCTAGCAGTAATAAAGACTGACTGGCAGGTAACAAAACAGTTATCTAGCTTTAGATTAGATCTTAGGCAGAAGTTCTTCCCTGTGAGGGTGCTGAGGCGCTGGCACAGGGTGCCCAGAGAAGCTGTGGCTGCCCCATCCCTGGCAGTGTTCAAGGCCAGGTTGGACAAAGGGGCTTGGAGCAAGCTGCTCTAGTGGAAGGTGTCCCTGCCCGTGGCAGGGGTTGGAACTGGATGAGCTTTAAGGTCCCTTCCAATTCAAACCAGTCTGGGGTTCTATGATCTTACTCCAGCATTTTGGAAAGCCTGGTCTGTACTTTCTTACACCGAGTTCACTTCTGCCAGATTTCAGTGTGGTGATGAACATGGAAGGAATGAAATACGCATTCTGACTTAAAAGGCATCTTCTTGAATATTTAATCTGAGCTGACACGCTTCTTGGTTTGGTTTTTGGTTTTGTTTGGTTTGGGGTTTTTTTTGCATGAAATCTATGCAAAGCTTTTCAAAATAAATTAATCCATAATATCTTTTATTGTGACTTAAAAAAACTCATGCTTTTGTTTCAATTCCATTGGTGAACACTACTTGAGGCTCTCATAAAAAATACATCAGAATGACACAAAGTACTTGAACAGGATTGTTGCTTTGCCTTTAATCATTGCTTTACATGAAATTTCAGATTTCATTTCCTCAAGAGCTTCCAACAAACTCACTTTATATCTCAGCAGTCATCTGCAAAGCATGTTTCACAGTACCTCGACCAATAACACCACCACTTTCTCTGCAGTTGAGTAAAAATTAAAGCATAGCACTTCAATACACCTTTAGAACTCTCCTGAACCTGCCTACTGAATCAATACTCGGGAACAGAAAAAAAGTCCTTTTCCTGGCACTTTGTATTTCTAAAGCCATTTTGAAGTTATTCTTAGGCACAACAGCTTCAGGAAGCAGACGGTTATTATCCTCTCCATTACAGAGTGCAAGCCCAACTAAGAAAGCTACATGAAGATAAAAAAAGGGGAAAAAGGCAAGGCTGATTTTGAACTCAGAATCAGAATAGTGAAATCGTTCTGGCATTTCTTCCCTTTCTGACAGGAAACGTGGACTGGTCAAAATTAAAACCTTTTATACAGGTGAGGGTGAAGATTTCAGCAGCTCAGGGTGATACTTTCAGTTAGAGCCAAAGAGAAACATAAAATTACCTGTGAGCTCAGTACTGCGCCATTTGATTTGCATTTGAGATTCAAGCCATTAAAGCAAATACATCTGAATGACCACCTGAGCATTCAGGCTCTCTTCTGCCAACTCTTTTTCCACAAGAGATGACCAAAAGTTCTACTGTCAAAGTGAAGGTAAAAGCTGAAAACCCACAAAATGGGAGGTCACTTTTCACCTCCCTACTCAGAAAATCTGCATTTAGTTTCCCATTCCAACCAATACACTAGACCATCATGTCTTCCAGCTATGGACTAATAATTTCCATCTATTCCCAAAGCACATCTGAAACCTAAGAAACCACAAGCTCAGGCCTGTGAAAACAGTCTAGGAGCTTCATCAGGGTTTTAAAAGAGCATTTAAAGTAAAATATGAACGACAATAAAATAGCAATACTTTTTCAAAAAGCGAAAAGGCAAAATTCCTAGTATTTATGTTTTCAATTTTTTGCAGGGCAGTAACTGAAACATCTGAAGCACTTCCTATCCCAGTGCAGTTAAACTGGAAACTGGTTCCAGTAGATGGAGCTGCAGAAAGGTGATGGGGACAAGCATCTCCAGCAGCTGCAGCAGCACAGCCTGAGCCTGGGACAACCTGTCCAATCCAGGAGAGTTCACCAAGCCTCTTCCTGCTCCTGAACATTTCTGCACATTCAGAACTTGTGAAGCACAACACAATCGCAATCTCTCAGCCTCTGCAGCTGCAATTGTCAGTGCAAACACAAGGCCTGGAAGTCATTTAATGCTGTGATTTAAAATCATTATTGCAAATATATGGGCCACCTTCCCACCCTGGAGAGTAAAACTGAAGAAAAGCTTTAAAAAATAAGGATTATTCGCCCTTAAGGGATTATCAAGACAGAACACGGCAACAAAACTGTACAGAACTATTACAAATACTAACACAAGTCATTCTGGATCATTAGCAGGTTTAACACTCGGTATAAAATCCTACAGGACTTTGCTGTTTTAAATTCCACTAGCCCACCTACCTCCACTCTAATAACTCTAATGCTAATATATATGCCACTAAAAAATGAGCTCTACTGCATAGCTCTTAGAATCTGAAGCTGTTCAGGAAACCTTTTCCACCATGGTGTCTGGGGATGAATTAAAAGTCTTGGGCTGATGTTTGCCGGTTTCAACTTCAAGATATAAGGAAAGCAGGCCAAAACAGAGCAAAACACCTCTCCCAGCGCTTCATGTGAAGTCACAAACAGCATCTTTACCATCTCCTTCCAAGTCCAGAAGCAGTTTGCTGACCTTCCAAACCGTGCTCTCAAAAGTTTCTAACCCCGCACAGATTACAAAGCAGATTATTTGAAGTCTTATGTCAAATGGGAAGAAACCCACAAGCAGGCCTTTAACGCAGCCACATCTAAAACGCAACACGCCATCACCACCAGGGTGGCATGCTATTTGCACACTGATTCAGCTGGAACAAACAGCTCCCTCACAATGCACGCAAGGGAAGTCTGTGTGTTTTAGGGGCTGTGGGAGCGCACACGTGGAAAGGAGAGAGGAAAGCTATCCACCTACAGCCAGGGTGAGCAAGGAGGTGTTGAGTTACAGAGCAACCACCATCAGGGTTCCACTGCCAAGGTGTGCTACAAGCTGCGCTAACAGCAGCCCAAGGACAAGGTCTTCAGTGCTCTTCCACAGACTTCAGAGGGCTGAAGTTAATTTGCATGTAGCTCTGTGGAGGACTGCTGTACAGGCATGTAATTAGCTTAAGCGAACGCTTTTGTCCAAGAGAAAATGAGTAAGTAGATAGATAAAGCCCTCAAAGAGCACAGAGCAGTTTGTGCCCCTCCAGTGGCCGCGCTCAGGTCGCTCGGTCCGCGGGCGGACAGCCCCGCTCACCCGCACCCGTGAGCGGTCTGCGGGCAGAACCGGGCCAAGCGCGGCTCGATCCCGGCCGCACCTGGGTGTCCCCGGCCCCTCCGGACAGACGGGGCTGGAGCTACGGGGACACTGCCTGCCCGCAGCCGGAAGGAGTCCTTCAGACAGGCACCAAACTCGATTTACAGGCTCCAGACCCAGACGGGCGGCTTGACCCGTGCGACGAGCCGCCCTCACCCCCGCTCCACAAAGGCGTCTCCGGAGACCGGACCCCCGGTTCCGGCCGGCACCGGACCGGCGCTCCGCAAGGCCGGGGGGGGGCGGAGGCAGCGCAGCCCCCAGGGACCCCCGAGCCGGCCGCGCCTCAGGCGCTGCCTGTGGCGGCAGAGCCCCCGCTGCCCCCCGCGGCCTGAGGTAACTGCCCCCCGCCCGCCGCAGCCCCGTACCGGCCGTCGCCTCCGCTGGCCGCGCGGGGGTCCATGGAGGCGTCGCGAAGGGCGTCCCCGGGAGCCGGAGGGAGGGAGGGAGGCCGGAGCGGGCGGGCGGTGCTGCTGCTCCCCGGCGCGGGCGGCAGCCGCAGCCACCTCGCATGGTGTGGAGCAGCGGCGGCGGCAGCAGCGAGCCTCGGCGCATGTTCGGGCAGGGCCGGGCCGGGCCGGGCTGAGGGGCCGCCCCCACAGGTGAGCGGCAGCGGCGGCCCCGAGCGCGGTGACAACGGGGCGAGGGCTGGTCCGCACCGGTGCGGGGCTCTGTGCCTGCGCTGCGTGTGGGGAAGGGTCCAGCCCGCGCTGGAACTGAGGTGAAGGGAGGCCTGCGGTGAGCCCGCCACGGGGAAAAGCGCATTAAGTACTGGAATAATTAATTCCTCTTGAGAAAACACGGGTGGAAATGATAACTTCTGTTACCCAAGTTCTAAATGCCTGAACTCTCTACGTGCCTGCTTCCAATACAGTGCCTGTGTGGAGCCTCTGCCCCAAAACACCACGGTGAGGTAATGGTACAAAAGGAGTAACGACCAACAGTGCTTACATTTCACATTTATGAACTGAGGTACTAATTGTTTTAAATACACAATTAAACCAACTGAAACTACAATAGAGATGCGATACTGAAAAAAAAAAGTTTTATAATACATGTAATAAAGATTGCTTTCGAATATATATAATAGCCAAATCAATCATGTCAGCCATGCAGCTTCAGATTATAACAGAAGAGACTGACAAAAGGAAGGAGTTTGTAGAAGGAAATGAACAGGGGAAAGAAGGCAGAGTTATACAGGGCCTAGGGAGTGGCAGGACAAACAGAAGGCCTTGGTTGACATAAGAGAACAATGGGCACATTAATGAGAACAGTGCGTGTATGAGGTTAAAGAAAGAGTTTATTAGCTGAATGCGGACAATGTGGTTCTTGGTGTGTGGAGTGAGAGGCAGGCGGCAGGGCTGCCTCATGCTCCAGTGCTCAGGTGATGCTGTGAGAGACAGAACCGGAGGCAACCGAGGACAATTGGGATTCTTTAGTTTGACAATAGGCAAAACTCATGACTGTCCTGGGCTAAATCAAACGTTTTAGATCAGTGAGGGATGTCAATGACAAGCACCTTCACAGAGCTGTTATTCTGGTACAGATGTAGACCCGCATTTTTCAGCATGAAGTACCTGTTTTCGTCCATTTCTGCCTTTGAATTGTGAAGCTTGTACATCTCAGCTCACAGCTTTCAAAAGGAAAAGACTTCCTGTGTAGTTCTGCACTTCAGACACAGCCCATTCTCAACAGCCAGGCACATTTCACCTAAAGAACATTTGTATTAATAAATATATACCCTACAGAATATATTACTTGAGATCGATTGTTACAACTTTTAGGATTTCTGTGTTGTAGGGACTAAGAAAAAAAAGCTAAACCAGACGGGCAAATGTGCATCATTAGCTTAATTACAGTTCAAATTATTCTCCTGAGCCTGTCACTGTATGACATGCCATGAATATGTATGATGTACATATCACATGTATGACATGTATGAAATGTTATGAACAGTTGTGCTTTTAGTACCTGACAGTAAAATAAATAATTTGAGATAAATTGATAGCACGTTAAGGGAAATCAGAGAATTTATTACTGCAACATTCAACTGGCACTTTTATGTACAGTTTTCAGGATTCTGGGTCACTGGGTTGAACCTCATCTCATTTATGCAGTAAAACTTATTACTGGATGTAGGCCCAAACTCCTCAGAACTGTTCGGAACTCAAAAGACCCTGATCTATATTACTGAAGAGCATTTAAGAATAAGGAGAAATTAAGAGATGTTGACACAAGCATTTTAAAAAAGAAATTCTACAAGAAGCATTTTACCTAAAAATCCATTGAGCCTTTCAAAATTAGTTTTTTTTTCTGTGTAAGTGACCACAGCTGTTCATGTAACATCTCAAGAGAAACTGCAGTCTGTGGAGAACAATCCTAAAGGCTTTACCACTTTGAATACAACAAGTTCAATGTTACATAGCCTCCACAGAGTAAGTAATGAATCGGTGCACACAGAAATATCAGTGAGTGGCTCAGGATGAGTCTCTTTATTGAATTGGAAGCTATCAGATACAAAACCAAGACAGCTGACAGGTTCTGTTGCAGGCCAGTGCCAGCTGGGACAGACCTCTCAAGTCAAAGGTAAGAACTTCATCCTGTATTCATCAGCAAACTAAATTCTCAAGCAAATACCTAGTTCAAAGTAGCACTTCTCCTAAATTCCTGATTTATTTCCACTTATTGTGAAGTGCAACTGGCTGCCTATATAAGAAAACACCGTAAAACATCTCTTCTACCTATAGGATACAAACAAGTAAAATGGGATAAAATTCCTTTTACTCTGCACAAGATTGTCTTTCCAAATTACAGCTTAAGTAACATGCTATCAGACCCACTGTCACTTAGAAAACAGGAAACAGATTAGCATTAAGAAGTGGTTTGTCCAAAGTAATTTAATCAATCAGCAAGAGATAACTAGAAACAACATCCTGACCTCTTGAATACACATCCAGACAATGCAGCATTCTTCCCCTCTATCAGCTAGCTACCTGTTCACCCACTTCAAAACCTAATGCTTTTTGTTTTCAGTTTAAAATCTAAGGTCCTAGGAGCTCTGGATCTCTCAATTTTAGCACAACAGGAATTCTTAAGTATTCTGAGCAAGGAATGGCAATGCAGCTGGTATTACTTATGCATTTTTTTACTATTATTTTTCTTTAAATCTTAGATGAAAATCACTTTCAGGATATTACTCACCTAGACTTGATGGCTTGTCACCTGACAAATAAAAAGTGCCTTCCCGTCTTTTCTAGAGTAAGAGACAAAGGCCAAACCAAAGCTCCGCTCTACCTATCAAAACAGTAAGCTTCAAAGTTGCTTGAAGATCTTCAAGCAAGATTTTTTTGAAGGCAAAAAAGATCTTCAGTTTGGGAAAGTTACTGTCTACTTCCAGGATGAACTGTTGACTGTTTGCTTTTAATTCGACATTATCTTGTGTTTTGTAATTGCACACGGCAAACAAATCCTCTTTCTTCTTATGATAAAAAAGAATGGATGCATCTGAAAGCCAACCACCATGTTCACTCCAAGAATGGAATTAAATTTAAGAGTATTCACTGATACGGAGTTCCATAAAGAGAAGACATATGACTTTAGCTGCCAATGTTCTGCAACAGATAAGATACTTTTCCAAACTCAGTTGAATTTAAGTAACTAAATGAAGTTGTTGAGCAGTGGGGAAACAGCACTACGCAACATGATTCTGACAGCTCAATGCTACTTCTGGTAAGAGGTGATACACAGCATGGTGCATCAGACGGCAGAGGATGGCAAGGAAGTCGTTGTAAACCAAAGAAACCAGTCAAGTCTAATACTGAGGTCTACCACAACCGCTTTTAGGTACTAAAAGCAGAGGGGTTAGTATGGCTTAAGTCTGCTGTACTGAAGCAAACAGCTTTCAACCCAGTATGTCAGTTTCTTCATTAAGCACTTTTATTGCCACTTTATTCCCTGTCAGTACTTCACAATGATGTAACAGCCTTAACATTAATCCCCAGTATAATTTCCAATCAGCTGCCAATACAGTTTCTAGTTAAGTTACTTCAGATAACTTGCACTAGAAATGTAACTGTCGAGTGGCCAATTCATCTGCCAGACATTAGCCTCTTTAATCTTGAGTGCAATGGTATTCTGTGAATGCAATAGGAACTTTTACATGACAGAACTTCAATGTACAGGAAAACTAGAGAAAGACAGTGAAGAGGATATCAAATTATTCAAGATAATTAGCAACCACCTAACCATCTTCAGCTTCATGATAAAGAGTTAAATAGGCTGCACACAATTTGAGAGGGGACGGTTTGAGGGGAAAGACGGTTGAAAGCAGCATAGTCAGAGGGGCAAAGTGCACCCAAGATGGAAACGTGACAGGAGACTTAAAAGTAAATAATAATTAAAATTGGGCAGCTCACAGAAGGTTTCAAATAGCTTCAAGAGTGTGTGTGAACCTGATAAAATTAATAAAGATGCTATACTACCTAATCCAGTTGATGTCTCATTAAAAGAAAATAGGCAAAAAGATTTGGGTTCACTTAGGTGAGTGTATTAGAACTACTGTAACAAAAGGATCATGGCAGGGGATTTGGACTAGATGATCTTAGGGTCCTTTCCAACCCTAACTATTCTATGATTCTATGATCAAAAGACACATGAAAAATGTTGCTGGAACTCCTAAACCTCTGACTAAGCACTCTATGACGTAAAGGAGACATCATGCTGACAGACATATTTAAGAAGAATCATATATGCTGGGTTAAACTAAAGTTCTCTTAAGCCCTGTATGTTGACAGCAGAGGTGATTGTATATCTTCACAGATAAATCTTAAGTACCTAAACATGTGGGCTCTGCAACTCTTGTGCAGGCAAAAATCCTTGGACAAGAGTAGCCTGAGTTTTCTTTGAAGCTGCCACAACTCCTAAAGGAGGAAGTGTCAGCTGGGATTAGTGTGCACTTCAGCTAACCTCAACATTCAGGCAACTCTTTCCTCTGCCAATTTACTCACTCCCATCAGACTACAATCAGAACACATATTGTTTGCATGACATTTATATATTGTTTCACAGCTAACAGCGCCCTTTTGACAAAACAGGCAAAGAGTTCACACTTGTGTACTTAAACTTTATTTCTTCATAATTACAGGCTATTGTTAGAATTTTTAACCAAAAGGGAAGTCTATAAATAGAGGCTAATCCCACCTGAACAAGGTTCTCCTTTAAAAAAACAACAGTTAAAACTTCATAAAGTAATGCCATTTAGCTCACAGCAGTGGTTTGTTGGTAGTCTGAGTAAAAGTACTATAGTCAGAGTCAGTAACATGAAATGTAACATCAAATGACTCAAAACTTTAAATTCCATAAAGGAAAGCAGGAATATATATATAATATATACATATAATATTGTGTTGGTCCACTGAGTATACATTTTTTAACAAAAGATAAGAAACTATGTAATCCAGTTAAGCATATGATTTGCAAGATTAGTGTACACTCATTACAAAGATGTATAGATAAGTTATAACTATTTAATACTTGCAAAAATTTAA